CCAGATTTCTGAGCCTTTTGTGAGTTGAGCTAGAGTAGGATGTAGTATCTGTAAAGGCAGAGTTGGAGGTAGGTGTAAGTTGCTGTAGGATTGTGATAGGGATAGAAATATTAAGGTGTTTGGTGATTTCTTCTGCAGTTGGCAGAGTGGGTTTGTTGGTTAGATTGGCTTGCATGATTTCTGCTAGAATAGGTAATAAGATTTGGTAATAAGGAGAGACTTGTTTGATAAACTCTCTTGCCTCAGCATCCTCAGTGATAGGGTAGTTAAATAGGGAGGCAGTTTTAATCTTGCTTGTATCCTTTGGGAGAGGAGGTTTGGTGGTGAAAAAGTCATTAGGAAGCAGCTTAAAGGAGTAGTATTTTCTGAGCTGGGAAACAACTTCAGCAAGTGGGATGGTAGAGGTGGCTTGGTTGAATAGGAAAAACTTGCACACTTTGTAGTTGAGCTCTTGGTAAGTGGTGGGTAGTGGTTTTTTGGAAGGTGGCAGGTCAAAATAGGTATCTGTGATTTTAGTAATGGTGTAAAAGTCTGCCAGTTTTCTTTTGTATGCAGCTAGGTGTTGGAGAGAGGATCGGTGAGAGATTGGAAATAGTTGGTATAGGCTGGCTATGAGGCCATTATAGTAGGGAGGAAGTGAAGAAAGTTTTGCAAAGTAAGACTCTGGGAGTTCTGAAAATTTAAAGATTCTTCTTAGAGTGTTTATTATAGCTCTAGTGTGTGATCACTGTGTAATGGGGAGTTTGAATGGCAGAATCTCCAGGATTTCACTAGGGATTTGTGTAGGTGTCTTAGGTAATGGTATAAGCTTGATTTCAAGAGCCTTAGTAATTTGGGCTCTGATCTTTTTGGGGTTTCTTCACTAGTATTTTTGATTTGCAAGAATCCTCTTGCGTATTGAATAGCTTTGTAGATTTGTCTGTGCGTTGTTTTAGAGAAATTGATGTTGGAGAGGTATTGTGAGATGAGCATCTTCTTGAGCATAAAGTGAATAGTGTTGCGTGTTGTGGTGTTAGTAAGTGTAATCTCATTATCATTTTTATATGTTGTGAGAGAGTGTTAAAGAGATTTGTGTATTCTTTTTGGTGTGCTGAGGTGGTTCTGGGGTTACATGTAAAGGTAGTAAAGAATCTAGTATCCTGGTAAGTGAACTTGAGGGCAATTGCCTCTAGTAGCTTATGTTTCATGTTGTGAGTAGTTAGCTTGTAGCTAATGAGGTCATATATGCCTTCTGGGGTCTCAAGAGCTTTTGCGATTGCATTATATAGCCAAAGATTTGTGTCGAAGGGAGTGTTGATGGGTGTAGTAATCTTAAGATGTACTTCTGAGGCCCATTCCATATCGTCTTCTGGAGCATCAGTGGTGAGAAGTTTGAGGTTGGTTTGAGTGATTTAGCTATAGGTAGGTTTTAAGGTTATCTCTCTGTCTACTTGTATTATAACTGGTGTAGATGTACTGCCTACTATAGCCTTGGTAGCTTTGTTGGCAGTTGCATTGAGTGGTGAAATGTTGGCCAGATTTCTGAGCCTTTTGTGAGTTGAGCTAGAGTAGGATGTAGTATCTGTAAAGGCAGAGTTGGAGGTAGGTGTAGTAAGCACCGGTTGTGTGATTTGCTAAGTGGGTGTGCTAGGTCTGGGTGTGATAATCTTGGTAGTATTAGTGTTGGAGCTGTTTGAAAGATCAGTGTTAGGGGGTTTGTTTGTAGATGGTACCACATTAGTGTTACTGGTACCTGTGTTAGTGTTTGTATATTCTGTGATGAGATCTTGTGAGGAGTTGAGCTTTGTGAAAATTGCTGTGTAAGCTTGCTCATTGTTCTCTTGTTTGACTCATTATCTGAGTCTAAGTTCATAATACAGTTGTATGGGATCATGGGTAGGTTTGCATTACTCTTAGCTTTTGTGTAAGGTTTTATATTGCTTTTATAGAAATTGATTATTGTTGTAAGTTTACTACTATATGTAGATTTGGGACATTTGGCACTAATATTTACAGTATTGTTTTTTTGTATTGTGAGGTCAAATAGGACTGATTGGGTGGTATCCATGTGGTTACAAATCTATTGAGACAGGTAGTTGGTCAGGTTTGAAATTTTTCCTGATTTGGTAATATTGACAAAGAAGACGAATGCGTCAGCATGCTCTAGGATGGAGAAACTAACAGTAAATGTGAGTTTTGACCAGTCTTTAATAGTGATGCTTAAAAAATTTTTTGTATGTTCTGTGCCTGGGCTGGGTGTGAGCTGGCAGTATTGGTGTTTTTAGGTTGTGCAGGTTTCATGGGTCGAAAAAAATAATTACTAATAAAGGAGGAGCTTTCAGAAGCCATATTTTTGGTGGGGTCTAAAGGTTTATCGAGGTGTAAAACTTGTGGCTTCTTGCTATTTTTTCTTAGTATGCTGTCTTTAGATTGTTTTTGGTTATTTGAAAACTGAGGGTCCATGGGACCGCTTTTGCAGGAGGGTTGAAAAACTGTTTTTTTGCTATTTAGCATGTTTATTGCTAGTAGCTATCCAGAAGAAGTCTTTTGGCAAAAATTGTATCTCCTTTAGATTGTTCTTGGAGTACTGGATAACTTTACTTAAGAGTCGAACATCGAGTTACTTAATAAATATTGGAGAAAATATCATGGAAAAGTTTTTTCTTCTTGTTTCTAATTTGGTAAAGTGATCTATGGGAAGAGTTTTGTTTTTTTTTATTGGTGTTTATTTTTCAAAGTGATTTTGTTTTTTTTTATTTGTATATATATTGCTATAATTTTTTATCATTGTTGTATTAATAGAAAAATAATTATACATGGCTAAAAAATTTTTTATTATACAAACCTGCTTCATCTTACAAACAAATTATAATTCTATAAAGATAATTTATTTTATGAACACATTTAAAAATCGAATAATAGTGATAGATAACTTTATTAACTTTGCACTCAAGAATTTTGTGCTAGCTTTTGTCGATCATTTACTTATGTGATAATAATTATGTATATACATTATATTTATGTATATTTGTGTAATGGTTCTATGTAGATGTTCGCTTAAATTTTATTTAATAGATTTAAGTGCTTATAGTTTTATAACCTCACATTATAAAATATTAAAATTATTTAGAAAAAGGAAAGCTAAATTAGAGCAAATTAGATAGAAAAAGCATATAAAAGTTCATACCTTCTATTATTACTCAAGATTTTATTTTTATTGTTTTAGCTCAAAATTTTTAAAAAGGTTGAGTAAAAAATATTGTAGTTTTAAATCTCTACTAAATGTTTCAAATCTGCTTGAATTTTAAGTTAAAATTCACCTGTACTTTATATTATATACTCTCTTAAATAGATAATATATATACTATATATATATATATATATATATATATTTTTAAAACATCTTTGTAATTGTGATGATCGTAAACTACAATTGACTCTCTATGAGTAACTCTATACAAGTGCACTTCACATGTGCTTTTTTTTATAAATATAGACATCATTTGATTGATTTAATTTTTTTTCATGCATAATTTTATTAAATCACTCTTCTAAGTGCAAATTCTATAAGTGCTCTTTTCCTAACAACATGCACTTATGATAATCAACTTTGTTGATGCTGTGCTCGAACAAATGTGATTATATTGCAACTATTACATCTGATTAATTATTGTGATTTGCATATAATGATAAGTTCAGGCATTTGCATATATTGATATAATATAAAATTAGAAATTGCAAAAATTACATTGTTACTTTAATTTGAATACTAATTACATTTGTCAATTTATTTGATTTTTGCTAATATTTTGACTAATATTATGCTTCTTTTTACTAACTGCCCGAACTTTGCATGCTGGAATAATATGTGGATCAACATTTTCTTTAGAATTTTTTGTACTCAGTCCAGTTTTTCTACATTTCACAGACTCAATTTGAACATGAATTCTTGCACCACTCTTTATACGTACAAGCAGATCATTATTAGGTTTTATATTATGAAGAAAAGATGTTAGCACTAGGATAGACTTGGCTTTTGCTGAATTATACTGTTCAGCTAACTTTTCAAGAGAAGCTTGGAGTTGTGAACCACCATTTTCATAATCATTCTTGATTGTTTCAAGAAATGATTTAAAAAATTCTGAATTATAGCTTAATTAAATAATCTATTTAGTTAATACTGATGCATATATAAATATATATAATAAAGGAAACTCACATTTCAGTTGCAGTAATTTGGCCCATATTCATATCAACTTTAGTGTTAGATTTCTCTAATTCATATATTTTCTCAGATTCTGAATTATGCCTTAATTAAAATAATCTATTTAGCTAATGCCAATATATATATAAATATATATAAATAAAGAAAACTCACATTTCAGTTACAGTAATTTGTCCTATATCCATATCAGCTTTAGTGTTAGACTTTTCCAATTTATGTGTTTTCTCAGGTATATTATATAAAATCTTAGCATAGTTATTATATTCACATTGGATATTATTTGTTTGAGGATGTAATGATGCATAGAAAGAATTGTCAGCCACAACACATAAATTATATATTCAAAAATTATTTAACATTAATGTTAAAAATCATATATATAAATGCTACTAAAGTAGGGTGAAAAAGGGAGTTCTGGGACACTTTTTTCACACCTTTATATGACATATTGTTAAAAACTGCTTTAATCGTCATCCTGC